TTGGATTCCCTCTCTCATCATTCTTTTATAAAATTTTAAATTCATTGAGGTTTCCCCGAACAGGTTCGAATCCTGTCGACTTTAAAAAAGATGTAATAATTTATTTGTACGATGAGGGATTTTAGTGAAGAAGATACCAATTATTTTAGCAGTCGTACGTGGAATGATGATCACGACGCAGCTGCAATCAACTACGACGCAGATGCAATAAGTGCAGCCATCATGGAGATTAAATACCCATTTTTATTTCTGAATGGGAACAGTTTTTTAGAAACATATTTATTCTTCATTGGTATAACACTAGGGATGCTAAACACGCCTCACAATTTTATAAACGCAATTATATCTTAAAAAATGGGAAATATAGGTAAGCAAAGAGACGCTGGTTAATTAAAGCAAACACAGAAAAAGAGTGCTTATATCATACCTGGAATATTTATAAGCTTGTTTACTTTGTGTTAATCCTGCACAGCAACTGGTCAAGAGTTTTCCGGTTACTGCAGAGAAAGAGTGATATCAGATACCTCGAAAGGGTTGTATTTTTTTTTTTTTAATTAGGAGTTTAAATGGATTTTGTCCAATTAAGTTAGTAGTTTGATCCAATGAAATTTAATTTTTTAATAATTTTCCTGTATATTTTTATATCTTACATGTTTATATGTATTAATATGTGAAAATGATAAAACAATTCTAAGAATCTAGTTTTTTAAATGTAGCTTAAAAGATCATACTCTCTCATGCATAAAGAAATACAACTAAATGCCTCTTAGTTTGTCGCTGAATTTAACAACCTGTTTTGACTTCTGGGAAAGCTCTGTCTTAATACAATTTGCCTGAGCTTGAACAACCGCAGAGGTACGAAATCAAAGTTTTCATGAAATTGCTTTTTTTAATGGAGGCCCATAAGATCTAACCAGAATTTTGATGATTCAAATAAATATTATACATTTAAGAAAACTTTCAGGATGAATTTGTGTACATCATTAAAAGTCAATAGATAAAGACAGATGGCTGGTATGCATTAACAAGAATATAATCGTCATTAAATATCCTTATCCTTTGTATGAATAGTGACGAATATCAATAAACGTGAATAAATGATTTTTTCGTCTCTTGTCTGAATGATTAACAACAGATTCAAGTTTTCTGATCAGAAAACTGTGTGCGTAAATATCTGCCGAAAGAAAATCTGCTTCCCTAACCGGTGTTTAATCTTGAAGTTTCATTGATTACTGTAATGTCTGAAACAAAGCTTTTAGAAGCAGTGGTTGGTAACACGTTATGATCTTGAGTTGTCCTAGGAAACTGAATATTTTTAAAATTCCATCCAATATAAGACCGTTCTCCAATGATTCACATTCATAGAGTGTTAATAAACTAGACTACATTCTTCTCAACACGTTCCTCTCTATTAGCAAATTGTGATCCAATACATTATCAAGCTGTAAGAATTTATTCCTAAACTTTCAGAACATCTTCTGTGCACAGTTTGTGTGTGGAATACTGCGAAACATTACTTGATCTAAAACGTTGTCTCTGAATCACTTGTTCAGTATAATAATGCAACCTGGACAACTCATTCATTTCGTATCCTATGTGGCTCCCGTTATCTCCTGCATCAAGCAAGGTTTTCCGATGTCCCCTTGCTTTCCATGCTGTTATAATATGATTTGGAGAAGAGTAGTCCAGGCAGTAAATTGCTTTAAAATTTGTCCCTGGTTGGATACGAAAACTCGTTAGCGTTTTCCAGTACATTGAGAAATGTGGAACGAATGACAGTGTATAAAAATACATTTTGATGAGCACCGACCAAAGTACATCGCATATCAACCACTGTATGCAGTCAAGTCAATGAATGATGATCATGTCAGTACATCATGTGATCACATTTTAATGGTCATCAGTTATAAAATCTGAAAACAGCAAATGTTTTGTAGTATGCAAATGAATAATAAGCTGAGAAATGTGAAGCCAAACTACAGAGCAGAGAATCAGCCAAAAATCGTAGGAGGAAGTTCTGGCTTTTCGTGGATCGTTCATTCTGGATTCACATCAGCTTTTGCTGAAAGGAATGAATGCACCGATCTGCCTTTTTTACTATACATGGTCTGTCTACAAAGAAACGGGACTGGCTTTGTAGCTCCCTTGAAACACAAATGAAGTAAAATGACAAAGGCGCAATAACAAAAAGAAATTAGAGAAACCCTTCTTTCTCTTCTTCGCACTTTTTTATATCAAGGGTAGTATTTTGTAAGATGGCGTACCAGAGAGCAAGAGAGCCAGTCAACATTATTACAAAGAAGCTTAAGCTTAGCGAAAGAGTTAACCCTCCCTCCGCCATAAAAAAGTAACTTAGAACTCTGGCAAAATGGTTTCCTTCCACATCAAAACTATGGTCCTTTGCATGCAACTTTTACAGTGAAGCAGATTTGGGTTGAAAAACAGTTTCCAACCCTGGTCCTAAACGGATTATAACACATGCTTATATTCCCTTAACTTAGCACACTGCGACTTTTTTTTTTTTTTTTTTAACCCAAAAATAAAAGTCTATGCTGACAATCAGTCATTAAAGGCTGCTAAGAAGAAACGTTACAGGTATTAAAATAGAGTTATCAAAAATGGCCTTCGACCAGTGGTAAATAAGTATGGGTCGATGTATGAATGCGTATGAGGGATATATCGAAGAAGACAAAGAATAGATTTGCCATAACTTGGAAAGATCCTTTTTTTTTAAGCCAGTTTCGGTAATTTATAGGCAGAAATTTTAATGTATCATGCTTTCTTATAGCTTGAAAACTGATTGTCAGAAAAATAAAATAATGGTGTCAATTTATTCAGAATAAAATACCCTGTCTAATAAAATCAAACTCTACAAATCAAGTTTTTCAACATTTTAAATGAAACAGCAATTCCTTCCTTTGTCTGAGCTTACAGTATTCGCGTTAGTTGTTTCAATTCGAACTGACTAGTAAATGATTTATTGGTAGGGACAACCAAGAATCGTGTTTGAGAGAAATGTGTTCTTAATAAATGTAATATTAAGAGGTGAGGTAGTCTATAATTTCTTCACTTTATCACCGATATATGGATCAACATTTTTTGTGTTGCATATTTTCATTTTTATCGTAATCCACCTGATATCAACAACTGGAGCGGTTGTTAAATTTTAATCTGCCTATGTGTGCAAGATGATTTTACAGCAATAACTCGTAATAACAAAGAAATACTTATGTGTAAAGTATCGTGTTGGCAAGAAAGAAATTTAGGTTTTTTAGTGACACAAAAATGAACTTTAATCAGTCAAATAGCTTTCGTTCTGTTTGATGAACTTTCGCCATCTTTCTGGTAACTTCAGGATTTCGTGCTGAAAGAACTTCTGGTCTTTATCAGCAAAAAACTCAACCAAGCGTGATTTGAAGGCATCATTATTATATTATTGAAATTTTAACTAACTAAGAAATTTTTAAACTGCCAAATAAATGGTAATCCAGTGGTGCAAGGTTGCGGCTATTAGCAGATGTAACATTACTTCCCAACTAAGCTCCAATAATATTGTAGATGTACCTAGATGTGCGTGGCCTCCCATTGTCGGGATGGAACACGATTCCTTTGTGGATAGCCATTTCTGGCCTTTTCTTCTTTATTGCTTCCTCCAATTACAGGAGCTGTTGGCCGTAAACACCTGAATCGATCATTCCGCTTGCTTGAAGCAGTTTAAAATGCACAACATCCTTGTAATCAAACCAAACTGTCAGCATGATATCTTTCCAAGGGATACCTATTCAATTGATTTTAATGCAGAGAACAAAAATGTCCCTGAAAATTTCCTTTGTCCAGTATGGAGCGTTAAGCTGTAATACCAACCTCTAATTGTTCTTATTAGGCTATTTGTTCAGAATGGTTGTTAAAAGTTACTTTCAACACGAAAACCTTCTAATACATACTATCAAAGATTTATCAAATAATTATTCAGGGAATTTCTTTTGATAAAATGAGAATATATGATCACGTTGCCTAGGAGAAGAAGTAGCCATTACGGAATTTGTTGCCATTACGGAAAGCAGAACTCTACCAGCATATTTATCTGGAATATTATCAGCGGACGTAACATGTATATAAAATTATCTGTCATCCAGAGTATAATACATATTATACTTCTAACATAATAATAAGTTTTCATCTTATTAAATTCTTAATTTAAAAACATTGAAAGCAGATTGAATATTACTGAAGTTATGCATATGACAGAAATGTAGTTATATAATATTTTAGAAAAGATATTAAGAAATATTTTGTAAATTTAACTTTCTGCAATGCGTATATGGTATTTTTAGTTTAAATAAGTACTTACCTGCAATTGTTTTAAACTGTTATAAATTTATATTAATATATTTATTTTGCAACAAAATTTTTGTATACATTATATTCTTTTGTTTTGTATTTACATATATGATGGTCTAATATTTTTGTTATGAAATTCTATGTAGATAATTTCTAACAACTTGTAAATAACTTCAGAATGAAAGATTTGCTAATGTTGGCTGTTATTGCAAAAAAGCTAGGTGACGGTGTTTTTTGGAGGGGTTAACTGAAATTCCGTCTTCTCGAATACCACAGATTATGCCATGAGGTTCAGACAAGTAAGTTAAAATAAAAGAAGGAATTGAAAAAATATACAATAGTTAAATGAAAATAAAAATAAGATCTGAAGAATTTAAATTGAGAATAAAATTCCGTAAAGCAGAAATTGTCTCTTTAGACCATAAAAGTTCAAAACAGTGGGTAGCCAAGGCAAGTCCTTTAAAGTGGCCTAAGGCATTTTTCCTTCCTGGACATAGTGAACATAAGGTGATTTTACTATTTTCTACAGTGATTTTTAGGCCACATTTAAAACTTCTTAATTGAACCTGCTTAGAATGACCTTAAAAACTCATATCCTCACTCAGCATTTAAATAAAAGTGTGCAACTGTGGAGCTTATGTTTAAAGAAAGAAACATAATGGGAGTTGAGTTATTTATTGGGTATTAATTACATCACAGTAACTGAACATTTAAAATTATGCCATGAAATGCATGATGGGATAATACACTATAAGGACAATACCATTACAAACATAGTTTCGAATTTCACATTCTTTTTTACATAATTTAGAACTCACAATCGTTCATGCATATACATAAATATTTCTGAAGTTTCTTATCTTTTATACAGACATATTTTCAGGAGGCAGGTGAGCTGAATCGAAGACAGAACATTTTGTAGGAGATTTTAGAGGTATGAACTGTCCAGTTCGTTCGTCCTGACATGATCCAGTAGCTATTTTAGTCCTCTTCCAAGGACATCTGAATCCCCTTAGCAGTCGCCGATAATTTGTATCTTCAGGAGAAGGATATGAACCATTGTCGTCAGTGAACACCGCTACTGTCTTTGAAAAACTCAGCTGCTGTTGGGAACGAGGAATTGATGGGGATTTCTGAGGTTGCTGCCTTGAAAAACTACTCTGATTCAGAAGGGTTGCGGTGCTGTCCTTTGCTTTCGGGTTACGGACACTGTATTTCCTGGATGCCGCTGGACTCTCATTTTCCATGGTTGAATAAACAGTATTCTGATAAACAGAATGTAGCCTCGTGATCTTGCCCTTCAGACATGGACAGAATATTACCAAGAAAGTCCTTCTGTACTTCTGACTTAAGAGACAGTACAGGACGAAGTTTCCGGCTGCATTTATGGCCATGAGGAAGTTGAAGATGTTGCCAAGTCCTCGAAGAAGCAGGTCTTCATTGCTACTGGGCGTGACATGGTGGAATGCTTCATAAAGCAAGATAACAGCAGTGGGCAATTGGCATATGAGAAACAAGATAACAACAGCTATAAGCATGACAGTTATCTTGCTCTCTTGCCTAGCTTGGTCTCCAGTTTCACGTCTTCTGGTCATGGTCTTTCTTCGGGATTTCGAAGAATGCACTGATTTAATTAGGAAAGCATTGAATACAGCAAGTAGGATGAAAGGAATCATGATGAAAACCACAGATATAAACCAGTAGTACACCGATTTATAAACAGGATTACGACCCAACTCTGAATAATCAGCTCGAATCTGAGTCTCATTGGTAACCGGATTCACGATTTCAATGATGTTCCACTCGAAAGCTGTTGGTAAAGTGATTAGAAAACAGCTTAAGAAAACTATAACAATCATTTTCTTTGCTCTGGATTCTGTGCAATATATTTTACCCTTCATAGGATAGCATACCGCTATGTAACGTTCAATGGTGAACGTTACAGTTATCCATACTGACGAATTGCTTGAAGCATCAGTGATAGTCAACATATATGGCCAAAATTTCCAGTACGCGTAAAACTGTGAATCATGTATGTGAGGGTAATGTTGAAAAGATAGTGCAAAAGAAAAGACGAGATAACTCATATCGAAAATTGCAAGAGCTGCTAAATACCAATTTGTGGAGCTGCGCATGCGCCTTTGGGTCATTATAAAAATTGTGACTGTGTTTCCTATTACTCCTATCAGCATTATAATCGGGACTAGAACCTTTTGAACCCAAAACCGACTTTGTTCTTGAAATTCTTCCAAGGCAGGATTGGGCTCCGGGGCTGACGTCTCTGGTATATTAGATGGAGACCAATTTGAATTACTGCAGTTCAGATCATTATCTTGAAAAGAACAGGTTACGGAACTGCATAGAAGTGTATCCAGCAAAGAGCAATTACTTATCTCTTCTGTAGCGCTGGACATATCCGTTAAATTACTTGCCATGATGATTAACAACTTCACTGATTGCGAAAGTAATGAATAATATCTCTTAGTAGTTTATTCTCGAAGTAATAAATAGGTATACCTTGCTAATAAATTTAAAGATGATTGTGCGTTATGCTCCCTTTAAAGGATCTTTAAGGAATATCCTTTTCTTCGAATAGTTTTTGTAAATTTCACATAAAAACTAAATTATCTATAATATTTTAAAAATAAATGCATTTAAAACATATCGACTAATAATTAAATTTGATTAAAATACAGCATATCTTCCGTCTTTGATTAATCAATTTAGAACACATATTTCTGTGGAAGTATGCTTTCCATTCTCAAAAATAAAACATATATCATCCAAGATTTCTTGTTATGAAACTTCAGTTGGAAACTATAATAATAGATTTTAGAAATATTTTAGTAAATGCATTTAAGATCCGAATATTATTGAAAGTTCGATTGCTTCTTTATGTAAAACTAATATCATGTTCTCCGATATTTGATATCTTCAAAATTATTTTAGTGAATGAAAAATGTAATGCATGAAATGAAAGTCTGAGCTTGAGAAGAGAACATCCTTCAGATCTGAGGAAATTTCTTTCAAATGATAGCTTCCGTCTTCAAATTTTTCCGTTTATAGTTTACATAGTGAACGAATAGGCTTAAAACTTGAAATCAAAATGAAGCAGTCTGCAAAGGAAAAAAAAAAGATAATTAAAAAAATACAGAACTTTTTCTGTGAACAAATAAGCAGATAATAAAAAGGTAAATAGATATACTTTTATATCACAGGAAAAAAAGAGCTTAAATGAGGGTCCTCCAATCATGATGTCAGTTTCTAACGAATTAGTGACAGCCACACTCATATTTTGTTAAATTTTAATTTCTTTTAATCGTTTTTCTTATGGACCTAGAATATTTGATTTTTCACTCTTTACTGTTCTTTAAAACATTTGCATTATTTTTCTTCTCTCAGAAATCAATTATTGATATTAGAAGGGAGATTTTTTTTTATTGATGACTAAAAATGTCCGTAGTGATCGAGACTTATTTCATCTGTTTATAATCGGCTATAACTGAATTTCCATTTTAAATAAGTATGATATAACTTTAATTATTAGAATTGAATAATCATACATTCTTAACAGAATCTTCAACTACGAAACAATAAAACTGCAGTTTTGTCAGTCATTTTATCATCTTCACACGTAAAATATGTAAGCTTCTATTATTTTTACTAATAGTTATTTTAATTCGTTTGCATTTCCTATCCTATCTGACTTCACTCAGTTCCTCACCAGTATGTAAATGAGTTACGGTTAAGGTGAGTGTATTTAAACGGAAGTAGCAAAAAGGTTACTAACAGCGTGTTTTCGCTACTGGGTGCGCACGACGCTATTGCTACCAGCTGTGTGAATTTTGAATTTTGGCTTCGCATTCTTGCCGCCGAAGTGTAACATCACGCCGGTTGAGATTTTTCAACCTGCTGGGTTAAATTAAATTGCAGAGTCTTGCGCTACTAGCTACCTATAAATTTAGTTTGTTACATGATCTTTAAGTTCCTCAACACAAGTGATTGGTGACACTGAAAAGCCGTTATCACATTAGCTGTTTGTTGCCGGGACAAAACGTTTGTAGCAACAGTTCTGAGAAACGGCCTTTGGTGAAATAGGGTTACCATCTTCACTTGGCAAACAGGCTGAAAGCCAAACAAGAATCAGTTATCGCTCAGATTGGCGAAAGTGACGTTTCCTTTCAAGTGACATTCGCTTCTTCGTGTTGTTTTGAATCGCTCACACGCTTTTCGTTTTTAAACTTTATTGTTAGTAATGGAAGATAATAGAAAGGTGATTGCTATCAAGTTAATCACTTTGATCTCCACTCTGGCACTTCATGTAACAGATAAACACACTTCTGGTTATAGCAATCAATTACATCAGTAATAGCCAAATTCTGTATACACTCTAAGAATAGTTTAAAAACATGTGCTGGATAAGTCTATTTATCACACATCGCTTATGTGTATTTTCTGTTGTCTGCATTTCAATGAAAATTTGATGGCTCACTGGAAAATTTGTGACCTGATGAAAGCATTTTCTGACTAACTTTATGGCTCATAATTACTGTTCTGTCCATTCAAATGACAAAAATCTATATGGCTGATATTTACCTCCTCACAGCCAGCAGATACTATTCAGCAAAATGCAGATCAAATAAAGCATATGAATACATGAGCAATCAAACATGTGCGAGTTGTTTACTGTCCCATAGAACACTCGGTAATATACCTAAAACACATTAATTATACCAACTCTATAAATTAGGTGTTCACATCATGAGTTTGTTTTATGGTTTGATTTATTGAGATTACAGCAAAGCACACTAGGGCTATCTGCCTAAGGGAAGGGATGCCTTCGGGGAGGACTTTCTAAGGGAAACTGGCTCGTCTACACGTTACACATGGGGAAAACCACGAAAGCGTCCATGCAGCCAGCCCGTTCGCGGGATTCGAACCTCGGACCGAACTACCAGTGTTCAGCGACTTTACCGCTCGGCCGCTGGTGGGCTCAGTTGGTTTTATGTGATTACCGCAAAGCCTCGAGGGATAACATTAGGAGGGATCCCTTTGTAGAAGATTTTTTAAAACTGGCTCGTATACAAAAGCATATGAACACAAAGCATACAAACAAAGCTCGTATACAAAGCATACAAACAAAGCATATGAACACATGAGCAATCAAACATGCACGAGTTGTTTACTGTCCCATAGAACACTCGGCAATACACCTAAAACACATGTGGTGCACATCATGAGTTTGTTTTATGTGATTACGGCAAAGCCTCGAGGGATATCTGCCTAACAGGAGGGATCCCTTTGTAGAAGATTTTTTAAAACTGGCTCGTATACCAGTTACAAATGGGGCAAACCAAGGAAACGTCATGTAGCCATCCCGTTTGCAGCATTCTAACCTGAGACAGAACTACCAGTGTTCAAAGACACTTCGGCCACTAGTAGGCCCGTGCACTTAATTGGAAAGTGCAATTCATTATGTAAACAGACATGAAGGTGATAACCAGTTGAGCGCTGTTTTAAGTAATCAAATGTTATAAATGCACAGCTGTTACATTTCTTATTATTTATTAGTCATGTTTTTATTACGTAGATCATACGTATGATATAATTATGAATTAACCCAATAACAAAATGTGTACACTCTTTAGTACTCAAATACTCATCAATTATTTTTCAACTGATTATTACATACCCATAATAATTTGCAAAGAACTGATAACTATAGTTGCTGCCAATTACATAATCGTTATCTGAATTAAAAGTAACTTTAAATAAACTTCTTGGCAATGTTCATTTTTTGTATTTACATACATATATATATAGATATACACATCTAATAAGTCATATATTTACATACAGATAGAGAGATGCGATGTTTTAGAAGTTGTTAATATATATTTATTAGTATTAATGTAATGAATAAGATTTATATTAATGAATGTATATACAAATGTTTTTCATCATGCATAATAATAAATCCATAAATTTTCAATGTTTCAATATGTAGCATTTCCAATAAAAGTATAGTTTCTAATGTATTTATAATTCAAAAAGTATTTCATTAATAACATGAAAATAATAGACAAATTTAATGAGTATTCTCATTATTACATAAGCTATGCTTTTCTTTTTTATGCATCTTTTATGCTGTTTAAAATGAGTCACTGATTATGCAGTTAACAATTTAAAAGATAAGTAATTAGGAGAAAAGCCGCGCATATACGAAAGGATTTTAAAAAATTATTCAACTTAAATTTAAGAAATAAAATTCTATTATATAACAGTGTTATAATACACGATCAGCACGAAATACGACAAATTTGGCGAACTTTTGGCTACGAACAATTTGTAAACAAATCCGAAATGCAAGAACGTCGTAAAATAATGTCAACTCTGAAATTTCCACGATTATATATTTAATGAATATATACACATTTAAAAAAAATGACTCAGGCAGTTGTATTACAACAAAACAGCAATAATTAAATCGGCGTCTATTTCCACCGTCCATCACTTCACAGTGAGAGCCATCGCCATATTGAAAGTTACCCGTGATCTTTCAGAAGCTGACCTTTCGTCTGATTGGTTGAACGTTCGAGGAACAGGTCTCCAGCCGGAACATTTTGGGAAAAGTTTTAAAATGTTGCTCGTAGCCGGGACACGTTCCTCCTAGCTAGACGAAACATTTCTCGGAAGCCTGCCGCTTAAAGCCGTGCTACTAGAATCTCGTTTCTCGGAATTGTCCCGGGTAAGCGCGCGCGTCTATAGATGTGATAACAGCATAAGCACTAAGTCCGTGCCGTCTGTAAATAACTGTGTTCCATAAAACGGTCTTTTACACCTTTCTCTTTTTGTTTTCATCTTCTAGTCTTTGCGAGAAGTCACAAAACAGACTTCCAAGTTGACTAGTTAACAGTGTACGTTAGCAAAAAAGAGTAGATTTTACAAATGCACTCTTTTTTTTCGGGAGTATTTAAAAGTGTACTTTAAAAGAATTTTTAGTGAGATTTTTAAGATTCTAAATTTTAATCTACTTTCTAAAATATTAATTATATACTTTCCAAGAAAAGTACTGTTTTTGTTGACACTTTTTATATTAATGCTTCCACTTAGTTTTGCTTGCCTATTAAAAGAACGAAAACTATTCCATTTAATATTCTTCAAATACAGATACGCGATTAGAAATCTTTTCGATCTTAATTAAATTTGAGTATTTCGTATATACTAAACTAATTTTTATCATTAGCGTGCGGAATGATTTCTACCTCACTTTGTTAAATACACTTTTATGCAAGTCCATTTAAAAGCCTAGGTGTACTTTCTTTTCGGGGAGGGGAGCGAAAATTTGCCGAAACTCTCATTAACTCGATTTTTCAATTAACGATGTCTGAGTTTTATTTCATTACCTTGAATTTCAACTTACTGATGCTTGACTGCATGTTATTAATGTTCCTTCCCGATTTCCTTTATTGTACTAGCTAAGTTATGTGCTCGGAGACAGTCTTGGCTCTCAAGGTTTAAAATACAAGAACCCGGTTCTTAGAACCTATCCAAGTGGGTAGTGTGATGGTGAATCTTTCAGACTTCACCGGTTTCAACAAGCTCCACATCTTTTCATGTTCTTCATGTTTCATGTTCTCCACATCATCACATGTCTGAGAGATAAAATTGAAACCTTCAACCGCTGGAATTCGCATGGAAGTGAAAATTTCCTGCTTCCATGGGAATTTGGCTTCTGGGAGCATGAGTGGTGAGAATAAACTAATCCCTCTAGGAGATCTGAGAGACAGCTCTTTCTGCCTAGTATGGAGTTAAGCTATGGCATGAGCTGTCAGACACGCAGAACACGCATTCAATTATTATACATTTTTCATTCAATTAATTCTGTTCTCATTTTGCTGCAACGCAAAAATACCTAAACACTTGGAACATCTTCATTAAAAATTGTAAAGTAGAGAAAAACACAAAACACCAAAATAAAATTAAAAAATTTTGCAATTAAAATTAGCGTTTTTACGCAAAAACAAGACAAATTTCCGTTGCACAAAAAGTTTACTTTTGGTTTCACTGTGGAGAAAAACACTGAAGTTGGTGCACCAACTGGCTTAATTCATTA